TGGGAACAATCATGTACAAGAAAGGACACATCAACGGGAAGAGCGCCCACAAATTCCCGAGTTCCCAACTGCCGAACAAAATTCCTAGCGTGCTCGCTAAGGCGCGCGTAATTCCTACGTAAGTTCATGGATTTTTGAAGAAAAACAAAGAGAAATTCTGAAATTCTGAAGAAAGCGAAACTATTTTCAAGTGGGAGCGCCTCAGCGGCCCTTGATTCCATGCATCACCCGTCTAAAAAGAAGGTACCCAAAGCCCGCTAGAGATCGAAAAGAAAAGAATAGCAGAACCCAGGGCTTCGGAAGCTCGTTCAAGCACGGAAGTTGGCACGTCGCATGGCTTCCGGGTTACCCGGCACGGAATCGATTTTCAAGCGGGAAAAGGTACTGCTGGTTTAAGTAAACCATCTTTGCCACGAACGCACAACCAAGGCCTGTACCAGCATACATGATGGCCTAGGGAAGCATTGGCCTACCCCGGCTATGAGGGGGCCTGGCGGGAGGGAGCTCAACTTTGAGTGCCCCAAGACTCTGAAACAAAACACATGTGGAGCTGTTAGGGGTAAAAGTAGAAAACTATTAATTTTTTTGACCACCGAGGTACACATTCTTTGCACCATGCTGTGACCTAGTAGACCCAAAAACTCTTTCAGGTTTGGTGCTCCAGGGTTGGAAAAACCTATGGGCTTGGCAGCAATGGGTGTGGAAAACTTGTTTTCAAGCCCACCCATCCATGGGTCTTGCCCTGTATTATTAGTATTTTACTACCGTCTCAACCCAAATAGAACCCCCAGTCATTATTGCTGCATCGGGACTGAAAGTTGAACCAAATACGGCTAGCATGACCGCGCATTCTATTCAGGTGCCCCCAGTCATTATTGCTGCATTGGGACTGAAAGTTGAACCAAATACGGCTAGCATGACCGCGCATTCTATTCAGGTGACGACGGTAGTCGCATGTTAATCCACCTACTCAATAAACTGTCACAGCTCAGAGTTTAAGCCACCAGTCCGTTCCTCAGCCAGCCACAAGGTTCGGGGGTCTGCCTACCAGAGCAAAATGGCTGGCAGCGCCACCCAAAAGAAGGCCCATGCAGGGTCGTTGTTTTTGAGCTCGCAGTGCATTTCGAGGAGGCTCGGCAAGGAAAGGGTGTGGTTTAAGGGGATGCTAGACCCTATGCTTTTTTCGAGCATTGAGGACTATGCTTTTTTCGAGCGCAGAGGATTCCTGGGGTGTATAGGTGCCATTGACTCCACTCATCTCTACCTTGAGAAGCCAAAGACCAAGATGGCAGAGTGCTACTTCGACAGGACAGGTCAGCACTCCATTGTGGCGCAGGTTGTGTGTGACCACAAGTGCAGGATCTTGAATGTCTACTTAGGTTGCCCTTGGTCTGTACAAGGGCAGGATCGTCTACTTATGTTGCATGACAAGGGCAGAGAATAGCCCTTGGTCTGTACACGACCCGTGTTCTTTGCTTACTGCCGAGGGCAGACTGTACTTCCACAGCAAGAAGTGCAATTTGCATGATGAACAGGGAGTGGGGTACTACATTCTTGGGCGATGGGAGTTACCCCCTGCTCCCACGGATAAGGACCCCTGTAGGAGGAAGAGGGCGATCACCAAAGGAGTCTGTTTATGACAATGGCCAGACAGCGGCAAGCTCATGCGTCCTGGTGACTGAAGGGGGTGCGGACAAAATCATCCCAGGGCAGATCTACAACGTGAAGACCAGGCAGACCAACACCAAAACCGTGAAGACCTTCTTCACTGCAATCTTTTTGCATGGGAGCCTTGTGTAAGGAATTCATGGCCGTCTGCATCCTGGACAACATCATGATCTACTCCAAGGTGGAAATGGGTCCAAGGCTGCTGTCCGATGATGACAACAGGATGACGACGACGATGATGGTTGGAACCACCACTGCGAACGGCAGAACAGGACAGCGGGTAGGTGTCCGATGATGGAAACAGCGATGACGAAGAGGATGACGAGTGCGATTGGCGCCACCCGAGTAGGGACTCCGAAGTCCAGTGCACGGAAGAAGATGCCGTTTCACAGCGTGCGGCTGATGGTAAATGTCGTGCATAATGGGAGGTTGCATGGTGCCCTAGAGTCAAGCCCCTGGGGTGCCTTACTCTGTCGGGTCCAGGTCTTGCTTCTCCCAGGGTTTAGGTGTACGATGCTTTCAGCGGTGGTGTTAACGCAGGGCGATCAGGGGTCGACTGTCTTCCACTCGAATAAACAATGTGCTATACACGCGCTGAGGAAAATCCGTGACTATTAAAAACAAAAAAAAACAAAAAAAAAAGAAGTGACTACTAGCGTCGATTCTGCGGAACGTCGTGGCTAGTACCACGATGCCACTGGCAGGAAATCTTCCATTCCAATAAGGGGGTAGGTGTCCTTGCCAATCCAAGTTCGGCGTTGTGTATTAGCGAGAAAGACAGCTCCATTATAATAAAAAAAAAAACGTGACTGTGACAGACTGTTTCGTAGGATTTTCACCGACTAGTCAGGATAAAAGCCCGACAAGGAAGCATTTGGCTGATGGACAACGATTCACCATCTTACCCAGAGTTAGACATACCCTTGAGAAAAGCGGGGTGTGTGTCTGCGTGTGTGAATACGTGTGTGTGTGTGTGTGTGTGTGAATGTGTGTGTGTGTGTGTGTGTGTGTGTGTGTGTGTGTGTGTGCGCGCGTGTGTGTGTGTGTGTGCCTGTGTGTGTGTGTGTGTGTGTGGATGTTCGTGAGTTGAAGAAACGCACCTCCACTCCAAGTTGGAGCACGATGTGTGTTCAGCAAGAACGTCCTACTCTCTCTCTCTCTCTCTCTCTCTCTCTCTCTCTCTCTCTCTCTCTCTCTCTCTCTCTCTGTCTCTCCCTCCCTCCCCTGAGCCGATCTGATCTCTCTCTGTCTCTCTTTCTCTCTGTGTGTCTCTGTCTCTGTCTCGCTCAAGAGCCGGTGCATATAAACAAGTCGGAGCATGCTGGGTACTCAGCAAGGACGCGCTGTCATCTGATCTCTCTCTCTCTCTCTCTCTCTCTCTCTCTCTCTCTCTCTCTCTCTCTCT